GATAAAGAAAAATTAAGAGTCCTCAGAAATCCACACAGGATTAAATTCCGATGAATCATTCTGGAATACTGGTAAACGGAAGGAAAAGTATTACGAAAACGAGGGAAGATTCGAGGGATACGTTTCACTAGCCGGATCAAATAATTGCCGTCTTGATAGGCAGAGCAAACATTAGAGGCTCTTTCGAAAGGGGAGAGAGAGAGAGTGAACGAAGAGGACATGAAGATTCGTAAGAGGAGGAAAGGTCGTCGCGCGAGAATCTAAACTCTTATCGAACTCCAACGTTACCCTTCACCTTTTCTCTGAGATTCGCTCCCTCGTCGAGGATTCAGAGAGGCAGAGTCTGCAAATTCAATCTTACCGGAGACCTCTACCCATCTACACAGTTTGTTCCGCCTATTGATTCCTGGTTCGTAGCCCGAGCTCCTTTTACCAAATCTGAACCACCGATTGGAATGCTTGGTGGCGAGAGAGCGGTCCGGGCAAATGATAGAAATCCCGTCTGTGTTCAGCTTTCGGAAGCTGACCTGGGACTTTGGAAAGATCTCTAAAGGGGAAGAAACCGTAAGATTTTCTGGATCTTCAATAGACACTTCAAAGTGTCTTCCAATATTCCCAAAATTGAGAATAATACAAAATTATCGGTGAATAAAGATTAACTTGAATAGAAAACGCAATCTCCTCTGTAAGCTTCAATGTACGTATATATATCATAATTAAAATTTGATTTTATATTTTTCTCTTTGTAAAACAAACGAGCGATATTACTTTTTATAACAATCATAAAAAATAAATACGCATTTAATGATACGTCTATTTTACGCATCAGTTACTTTTGTGATAATCGAATCGCGTATAATAATTTGTATAATATTATATAACAATTCAATTATATATTCATATAGCGCAACTAAAACAGCGTGTTAAAATAGCCTCGCTGGAAAACGGAAATAACGGACTAAATAAATTGCTCAATGCTCGCATTTACAAAAGAAAAAATACAAGCGATATCCAGAGTTTAAAAAAAAAAAATAATCTATTCAAGTTCGAAAAATTTGTTTAAAAAGTTCTACGCGCACGATTTCGCATCTCCGCCGAAAATATATGCAGTCATATATACATATGTATGGTCCGCCGAAAGATCAGGCGGTGTAGAGGTAAATACGCGATGCTAAAAGCCCATGCGACGACCGGCGTGAAGTGCAAATGCCACCGCGCCATAGACGCATATAAACGGTAATCCGCGAGCGCAATGTGATTAATAATAATTTGCCGGTCGGCATAAACGGAACCGATTAGCCGGCTTAACCAAGCGTTATGGTAATAGGAAGCTATTACCCAGTGACACCTGCGTACCCTCCTTTCCCCCCTCTCTCTCTCTCTCTCTT